AACTTGGTATCCTGGGTTGGAAGCGATGGGGGACAAAATCCCTAATGTTGGCAAGAGAAGAGTTGCCCTTGACAACAGCAGAATGACGTGGACACAGGCCCGACAATGATCTCCTTGATGTATGCATATTAAGCCTTGCACATCTTTCCCTTGTAATTGATTCATGCCACTGACTGGCATGCATCCGCCATTGCATATATCAAAGTGCGACACCCTGGTGTTGCACCATGATGGCGATGGTGGGCACTGTTCACATCTGCACTTTTGACCATAAGTGGCTGGTGATTGTCAAAGAGATCCCCATTGAGTTTCTGATGTGCCACCCATTGGGATGCTTCCAACAGTACTGTAAGAGCAACCCCCCACCCCCAAAGCCACCCCACCCCTCCCAACCCTGCTCCACACAGGTTGCGTCACAGCTGTTGCAGCAAACCGTACTGGCCGTGGCTTACATCATCAATGCGACCTCATTCCTCTATCATACTTCCTTGCATGAGTGTTCCGGCCACTTTGGTGATGGAATCAAATTCAATGTGGGCTAAGGAACAAAGGACCATGGCAAGCAAGGTGGAAGAATGCAAAGCTGGGCAAAATGCTGGGGCGGTGTTGGTGTGAATGTATATAATGTAAGGAGCTAGTGCTTCGGAAGGTAAAATATGCGGCATCGGCACTGTGACGTGTTGTATTTCCGTCCAGCGCCAGTGGGACCTTCTAGCACATCCGCAACTGCAACTGCTTGCCCTGTGTTATGTTTGCACAACATACTGGTTTGTCTTCAGTGAGTGACGTTCTGTTACTGGTTCCAGATGCTTCAATATGGCTGCATCAGTTTGTGAAGGCGATGAGGGATGAAAGGGGTGAGGTTGTGAAGCATGCTCATCTGCTGGGATTCTTCCGGAGAATTTGCAGGTGTGCCTTAACTGCCTTATTATGCCTGGGGAGACTCGTTTGAGGTGTACTGTGAGTTCCAATTGACCAAAACTTACAATTTATAGTGGAATTGGGATTTGCCCAAACATATGTTGTAAGAGTGGGAATGGGGAGTAGGGATGCAACAGCAACAGAATAAGGGATGAAACCAGCCACTAGATTGGACACAGGACAGAGCCATGTCAATGGAGTGGAAGACCGTCGTAAGAGCATTTGTGTGGCAAGGTCCTTGCATGTGACGCCCTCAGCAGCAGCTGCCATTGGTGTTCCTAACTAGGGGCTGCTGTGTTCTACTGCTTGCCATTTTGTGCCACTGGGGATATGCTTGCAGACTGTTCGCAAATGGTCTCAGATCGCAAAGGTGGGACCGCTGGTTTGTGTTTTACCTTTAGTAACAAATTCGGTCAACAGTTTTGTGGTGGTTATTGTTCTTTCAGACTACTGTTCCATCGTATCCATCCAGTCTTCGTTTTCGATGGCGCAACACCCGCACTGAAGAGGCGGACCATCATTGCAAGGAGGAGGTGAGGAGCAGTGGTTCGAACTCCTGAGACTCCATCTGTTGCTCACAGCAAAGCCTTTGCCCTACCTTCGACGATTATGAGAGTGATCGCAGGGGTAACAGAACATTGCTTTGAAATCCAAGCTGGACAGTCTGAGCACACGTACTGGGTACCAGAGGTCTGGTGGATGCCTGGGTGTTTTCGCTGGGGCTTGTGTCCCAACTCGCACTAATTGTGCGGCAGGGTTGGTCTTGCAAACTGGAGAGCTGCAAAGCATGCCTGAAAGAGCCGTGCCATTCTGCTTTGTTCCCTCACACGTGCCAAAACCTTAGCAAGGAGATTGCCCAACATCCCCCACGGTAGTGAAGGTTGCATTTGGCAAATACATACAGCCTGCAGTGCAAGCTTCCACAGCTCCACTTGTGAACATGAGCCGTTGCTATCTACAGACACAGAACAGTTTGCATCCGGTTGGGCAGAACTGACAGCTTTGTCTGTTGGGCAACTATGGCTGACTTCCAGAAACTTTTCATCAACGGACACACAAGTCACAGTACTCTGAGTTGTGGTGATGCTGTTGAGCTGGCACCATTCCTTGAGCTGCGCATGCTGGCAGTGAAAGGAAACCAGACTGGTGACTGTGTGCAGGGACACTGCATGCATCGGTCATGTTCCTGACTGGGCACTTTGCTGCATTTCGGCATGTGTTGGGTGGACTGTAGGGGCAATTCCAGCATCCTCGCACAATATTCTTACAGAATCCACAGTGGCTTCCACGACTTGTTGAGGACAGTGTGTTGGCTCACTGAACCCAGGAGCACTGTGCAGATCTTTGTGATGCAAAAAGCCTCTGCCATCTTCACCAACAGAAAACAGCTGTGCTAGTGTTGTTTGGGAGGGGATGGACGTTGTACAACATGTATTTGAGATGCAAGGACAAGCCCTGTGAGAACGTGGTCTGGCTGGAATAAAGCAGCAGACACGTGGGAATGCAGTTGGGGCTTCTGGGACCATTTTCACAAGGTTAGGTGGGCTGTTAGGACGTGGTACTGTTTTAGTGTGGCTGTTCAGCACAGGCAAAAGACTTAACTGTACTGTTTGGCACGCTATGATCGAAGCCACACTCACTTTTTTTCCTGTAGCCTATATTTTGCAGTAGAGGACAATACCTGCTGCACTGTTGGCGGGCGACAAGTGACAGATTGCTGTTGTCTCTAAAAGTTGTCAGTGTAAACATGATGTGATAAAACCGGCACTCATGTGGGTGTACAGGCGACAGGAAGTTCAGAATGCCAAGCTTCGAAAGACAGCTGAGAAGCTTCTGATGAACCAGTTGAAAGTGGCAGCGCTCACGCAGGTTATTGACAAGGAAAAGCAGGTATTTGGGCTGGAAGTCTTTTAAGTGCGTTTGGCTGCAAGGATGAGTAAGTCAAGAGAGCAAAAAGCGGATAGAGAAACGCAGGCGAGCAGCAGTTTGTTTGCTGAGGAAATGTCCATGATGCATTGGCAGCTCCCGTGGGGCAAACTCTCAAAGCTGGTTCCCATGCCTCTAAAAGGCAGATATGGACAATTGCCAATTGTTTTTACAGTCGTCTTAATTTTCGCAGCTGTTGCGGGTCGAAGTTCCCATATCTGGACAGCCACAGTTGTTGCTAGGGTCGAGCTTAAAGGTGATGAGTGTCCAAGTGGCCGTTTATGCCTTGGAAGAGGCGTTGAAGGCATGTATTCTTGATTTCTAGCCTAGAAATTGAACAGCACAGGGGCACATTGAGATGTGACCAGTCCACAAATGCGTGCCTTTCGTTTGGCCTGTCAGGCTGAGGAACAGCGCAATGGTGCTGGGCCGTCGACGTCTGCCAAGACAGGGAAAAAGTCAGATGTGGCGGTGGCTTGCGCTGCCAGCAAGGACTCTGATGGGGAGTCTGCAGACAGCGCAGGGCCATTTTCTGTTTCTGATGGGTCGCAGAATGGAGACAGGGGGGCTCGGGACAGCAGGGCTGGGAAGCTTCCTGGTGGATTTTTGATCGAGGAGGACACTACAGGAGCAGTCGAGGAGCAAGCGAAGTGGGCCGAGGGTGAGCCGACTCCTTTTCCAAATTCCGATGGTTGGATATGTCGCACACAGCAAAGCAAGCCACTGCATGAAGCGTGCTGTGACAGCAGTGAAAAACCACAGGCAATCGTTTGGCCTTACTGTGGGCTTCCAGCAGCTCAATGGGTTGTCCAGGGTGTTTGGAACCAGCATCGATTTGCTGTTATGCTCTTGCATAGTGCCATTTGCCTGGCATCGCCAGCATGGCGAAAAGACTTTCTTCATGTGTTGATGAGGTCAACAGAGCGGAAGCCACTAATGACAATGTTTGTTGCTTTTCATTTAGTTGTGCCTCAGTTCATGCCTCACATTCTGTGAATGTTGGGCTTGTCAATCCTTGTATATCCAAAAGTGTTACAACGCTGGTCTTTCAAGTAAAGGCAGGACGGCAGGTACATTTCCAGCTGGAGGATTTCGAAAATGCGCTGTGCGTCATCTTAACGATTTTCATCATGTAAACAGATACCAAATTGAGTCCATGGGGTTGTGCTTAGTGCATGAGAATTGGTGAGTACTTTGGGTGAGTTTGCACTGGACACTCATTCGCAGTTTAGGAATGAGTGTTTGCCTGTAGCTCGATGTCTGAGCCTACACGGAAGAGACTGACAATGTTGGTCTGAGCTGTTGAAGCCAGCTTTGAGCGCATTTGCCAATTTGGACAAGCATTGCCTTTGCATCCACAAGGCAATGTTGTGTGCCTTCTATAATAGCAATTGGCCCCATTTTTTTGAGGTTCCTGCTCTCCACCAAGCTCTTGAAGCCCTTTGCATGGGCTTCAAGGCTTTCTTTATTTTTGTAGAATTTAAGTCTGAACAAACAGTGACTTGAATCATCCCAAGTCGTGGCCCACAATGTGCCAGAGCTTTCTTTGTCGTGGCTGCTGTGCCAACTGCAGTCAGCGGAATTTTGTAAAAGCTGGTGGAAGCCTTGTCAACTCGTAATTCGTCAGCACTGTGTAGGTGATTTGCATCCTGGTGCATGACAGAGATGTGTTTTGTGGTTGAATGCCCAGAGTATGTGGACTTGCGTGGACAGTGCTTTCCAGAAGTAGACCCCAGTGACACAAAAGGATAACCAAGCCGTATGCAATGTCTGGCTGACAGGACCTTCGACTTCAATGGGGGATCGGCATCTGAAACAAGCGACTGGGCCATCCACTCCAGGTGCACAGATTAGCAGCAGAAGTCTGGATGATGCAAAGGGCAGATTTGAATTGACGTCTCTAGCATTTCATAAGGAGCACCACGTCACAAATCACATCACGTGTCAGATTGTTAACTCTGAACACACGGCTGAGCAATGGCAATAAAAATGTACTCATGTCAGTGATGGACGTTTGAGGGCCGATGGCTCATGTGGGGAATCTGTCTTGCCTGGTTGTTTGCGTCAGGTGAAAAACCTGGAGCCAGTGGTGCAGGTGATGAAAATGGCGATGATGGCATAGACGACAAGGGCCATGAATTGGATGACGAATTCGAAGATATGGACGATGATATGGAAGATGATGAGGTGATCGTTCCAGACGACGTGGTTGACATTGACCCTGAGGTTCTGTGCACCCTTCCCCCGTCTGTGCAGTATGACGTGCTGCTGAAGTTGCGGGACCGACAGTTTGGAGAGAACAGGGAGCGGCTTGCGTCGCTGTCAGGTGCGAACACAGGAGTATGTTCTTTATAGAAAATGCAGGAGTTCATGCAATGGGTGGCCCCTGTTGAGCTAGGCGTTTGAGCCTCTTGGTGTTCTTTGCTTTCTGTGGACCGTAGGGGCAGATCTCCAGGTGCTCTAAGAACAGCATACAACACAATGTGGCACGACCAGAAAGAAAATATGGTCATGTCAGCACGATCTGTTGGCATTTGAACAAATGCCAACTGCTGCACGCTCCACTTAATGGCAATGAAGGGAATCCCCAGAAATGTCTGATTCAATTTTGAATGTGTGTTCCTCCTTTGGGTGTTGTAAATTCCCTGGTTGAGCACCTTTGCTACTCCCCAGGCAGGACTTGGCCAATCTTATTGTCAATTCCGCAAGGTAAAAAGGCATTTGTGGTTGAATGTGTGTGAGGGAGTCCTGTCTGTCGCACATGTTGGTGATGACCTAGGATTCCACCTTTGTGGTAGCATAACCAGGCACCTTGTTGGAGGAGCAAGCCTTGACTCACAAGCTGCATGGCAAGTCTGAAGCACTCCAGCTCTGCCGTTTCTGTCATATCTTTTCCTGGGGGTACATGAGATTGTGGGATACCAGTAAGTGACTTGCTGGAAATTCTGTGGAATAGGATGAAGACATGGTGCTGGTTGGTACTGAATCCTGCATGTTCATGTCAAAATGGCAAGCAGCAGTTAGGCCCCCCAAACGTCACAACAAACCAGCGCATGTTCTGTATTTGTGGCAATGGGAAGCATAGTTGGCCCTGATTGCAGTGCATGTCTCTTTCACATTCTGATATTCGCGCAGCTTCAGATTTGAACAGACCCCTGTTACATGATGATAACATTGCTTGCCATCAGGATTTCCAGGCAATCGCATTGCAAACAGAAGTCACACCGTGTTCGTGCCCCCAACTTTCAGTAAATGCCAGAGGTGTTTGTGTTTGCCTGCTGCCCCTGTGAACAGAGCAGCCTGAGGAATTCTCTCTTCACCAGATGAACACGTACCTCAAGTCGACAGAGATGCGCCGGAAGATAGAAGGCATCCGATCTGACATTGGCCGTGTTGTGGGGAAGGATGGGCTCCAGGTAACATGATTGTTCTGATTGTGAGCTAACAATGTCCACGAATCAAAACATCTCTCATTTTGCTTGCCCGTTTCATGCTGTTTCATTGAAGATGAGGAAAGCTGTGGTCAGAGCCAGATTATAAAATCTGTGTACAGAAGTACGCACAGAGAATTGTGTACCCTTCCTTGCGTGTAGTTTCTGTTTTATTCTGTGTGCGTTATCATGGTCGCTTTCCAGATTACGTGGGGCTTGCAGCTAAGAAGCGCTGTGCCACTGTCCATTGCTGGCAAAGCACTACTTTGTCCAAGGCCTGGACTCTCGCCTTCTGATTTGGGACTGACCATAGGAACCAAATTTCCCACAGGAACCAGAATCTCTCACAGGTTCTTGTTTTGGTGTTGCTGCACTTATGTGATGCATCAATGCCCCCCAACACAGCGATGGCTTCTGTTTGATGGGTTTGTGCAACCTGAACCATTTGGGATGCCCACAGGTGCAGAAAATCGCATCAGAAGAAAACCGCGAGTTTGTCCTGCAAACGAACGTGCCTGAGCCCTCGCCTGCAGTAGGGCCTAACTCAACAAAACCGGGGCTGGGGCACCCAGGCAGTGGCCAGCCCCCAGTTGGTGGCACTCTGTCCGAGATGCTCCAGAATAACCGACCTGTGGACAAAACACGCCAGACGGAAGATGAGGCTGGTGGTGACATGGGAGGTTCAGTGCCGATCCAGTCTGTGAACATCGAGTTCGAGCTTCCAGTGCCGGCCCACAGCGAGGATGAGGGATTGGAATGGGAAGATGTGGGAGCGCAGCAAGAGGTGGATGTGCCCAAGGCATCGGGGGACAAAGGTGTGAACAGCCCCATCACAGTTACATTGGATCAAGGGGGCCTGACTGTTGCTTCTGGTGAAGTAGTTTTATTAGTTTGAGACATTGACGAAGCAATGTCCCGCAGCAGGCATCACTGATTTGAGCAAGAAGGTTTTGGGAGCTCTTCTCCGCAAAGTGGAAAAAGATTCAGTCTCCAATTGTAGCGGGACTAGGCGCAAAGAGGACAGCAAGAACAACATGAAACAAACAGTGAGAAAATGCAATGTTGAATGGCATGTGGCGATGTCCAACCGATGCTATGGGTACTGAGTCCTTAATTCCATGTGGGATAATACAGACACAATTGTTGACCTTGGCTAACATGGCCAGGTTCTCAACATACAGCAGAGGGCAGCATTCCATCCACACTGTTGCATTCCAACACAACGGTGTTTTGTCCTGTCCAGACAATACATATATGACGTTCAGTGTTGGTTGGTTTGAGTGGGTGATTGAGGCAGTATGAAAGGGCCACACGATGTGCAGGTAAGGCCCCACAATGCTTGTTTTAGTGCTGAGCTCGAGCAGCATAGTGGGTTATTGGCACACCCTGGAAACATCATCTTGGCCACCGGTCCATCTGTCAGGTTGCACTTGTCACTTGGTGCCCAAACACTATGCCATCAAAATAGTTCGCTCTACATACCAGTGTCAGTTATTGTATCATGGCCGTTTCGTCAATCGTGTTGCATCCCACGCTTGTTGTGCTGTGGCATGGCTCAAAGACCAGCTGCATCGCAGCCAGCAGCCCCCAAGCAGCTGGAGGGAACGTGCAGCTCAGCGTCAGAAGTATTGGAGCCTGAGCCACGGCTTCAGATTCGGGCGGAAGCTTGCGCAGTGGGGCCAGCATGACGCTGGTGAAGGTGACGGTGTTGACCAGGATCAAAGCGACGACGGAATCCAGCCACACAACCTGGAAGAAGAGGATGAACAGCTGCAGGAGGCCATACGCCAAAGCCTACAGGAAACTAGTACGTTCAAGATATGAGAGCTTGCATGATGCTCTGTTGGTGAATGGGGGTATCCATTCCATTGATATACAAAATGGCACATTGCTCATGGCATGCACCTATTGACTTTGGATCGGAAGGTATCAGTTTCTTTGGTGGATTGCACTTCATCCCTGGGGAGGTATTTGTCAAGAGATGGCCGTGCCCTGTTCTTGTACCTATCGAGCGATGTTGGACGATGTTCACAGATATAAGCGTCTGTCCAAAGTGTCTTTGTTGACCTTGTTCTCGTGCATTAGCATGCTCACTTGCGAACTGTTGTTCGCAGTGTTCACAGCACAGGTGCAGCATACTGTTCTGGCAGCATTTTCTTGTGCTTGACAGCACTGTTCCATGTACATTGCTGCTGTGTGCTTTAGGAGCATGCGCAAATTCCCAATGGCACACCATGCAGCTGGGGTCCAGATGTGCCTGTACTGCACATCCTTGCTCTTCACCTGTGGTTGAACTGAAAGGGAATGAGCAGAATTGTCAACATCTGAAGAGCGATGGATAAGTGTGCTTGACCAAAACGAATTTCACTCTTGTTGTAGCTGACAGCACCATATTCTGCATCATTTGATGGTTCAATTCGCAATTCAATCCGCGGTCACAGACATTCTTGCCCGCGCATGGCCCCTGCAATTCATATGGACGAGTCACTGCCATATCGCCGTCAAAGCCAACGACTGGGCTTGTTTTGACTTTAGAAGTTGACACTGTAAGATTTCCTGTCTTTGAAGGCCACCCTGCACCCACCCACAGCCAGTCAGATTGGCCCCTGACCGTCGAAGCTCTGGAAAGGGAAGACGGGCCACAGCCTGAGCTGTACGCTCCCAGCACCTCCATACAAGTGCACCAAGATCCAATGGCAATGAACGCCTCTCGGAAACAAGACAGTTCATCAACGCCAAGCTCGCAGGGAAGGTCTGAAGGGAAGAGAGGCACTCAGGCCAATGAGACAGCATCTGTGGACATGGAGATTGAGTGGAGTGATGTGGAGATAGCAAACGTGTGTGAAAAGCATCAAACCGGGGGAAGGGTGAGCCCTGTGGCCCCAGTGACAGTTTCAGGTCGCCTTGGGGAACCTGGAAGGGACACAGCTGCACCTTCCAAACGAGGGCACAGTGCTTCGACACTTTTGAAGATGCACAATCAAGATGCAGTTGCACTGAGGAATTCAATGGGAGAGGAGCATATGACGACTGCAAGCCCGAAACGGCAGCGGAGGCAGAGTGACAGTGGTGGTGAAGTTTCACGCCGGGACGCTACAGCTAATTCACTTTCAGGCCAAATGGTGGAGGGAGAGAATAAGGGAGGCGATGTACTGGATGCTCCTGGTGTGGCAGTTGGCGATGTTGTAACGATTGATTTTGAAGATGGTGGGTCGGAGGCAGAGTGCCTGGACCTTGTGGAGCAGGGTGTGGAGAGCTCAAGGAGCATTGATGGGGCTTTATTGAGGGAACCCGATCAGGGGTGTGCGGAGGACCGTGAATTGGTTGATATGATGCAGTCAGCACAGGCGCAGGTGCGTTAAAGGGGATGGGACAGCCATTGGCATTGCTCACATTGCTGTCCTTGCTGATTGGGAAGGCGACCGCAGTGGCATGATTTGCCACTCCTCAGCATCAGCCAAAACTTGAAAGGGGCGGGGTTTTGGGGGGTTGAAGAGTGGAGTAATTTCCATGGCAACCCCTTTCACGACGATCCTCTGGAGCGCTTAGTAGCATTCAAGGCATGCACCATTCAAGGCCAGCGATTTGGCACTGCTGGACAACCGTAGTGAAAGGCGTGCCACCCATTCTTATGATAGGCTGCAGGGAGAGCCATCCTCACTGTTGACTCTTGTCCTTGGGTGGAATTCGTAATCTGTCACGTCAAGTGATGAGTTTGTTGAGAAATCTTGGCTGTCAATCACTTGCAAGCAATCTACGAAGCAGGAATTCCCCTTTGTTTTATGTGTCAAAACATGGCATTGTTCCAAAGCAGTAGGCGGAGCTTCAGTGTGCTAAGCACGGGATAACCAATTTCATGCCTTTCGCACAGAAAGCACGTGACGATGGGAGGACGAATTCGACAGAGCCACAAGCAGCAGCCCTGTTAGGCAGCAGGGAGGATGCTCCTCGGGCAGCTGCAGATGTGCAGATTCAGCATTCGTTGCAATCAGTAGGGCTGGGCGACATTGATATGGATGATATGGCCACTGGAGGGGACCTTGGAGAGGAATGGCAAGGGCTGCAGCGAACTGGTGAGTGCAATCTTTTTCTGTTGTTGATCTACTTTGGCATTCTTTTGGAAGTGATGGAGCACGTCGTCATGGCTGGCACCGTTTCCGGGCTGAATGTCAGAGTCCTGCACATGTCATGTTCTGTGCATTGAGGTCCTGCGTGCAGCCAGCGATGCCTGGTTGATGCACTTTCATCTTGGATGTGGTTCTGCTGTCCCACGTGGCAAGCCTTGCTGCAGGAGTGAATCTTTTCCCCTGTGCAGAAGTAAATTTGTCCCCATTGCAAGTGTTGCCAACGTCCTTGTCAGTATTGTGGAACAGGCGAAGTTTCAACTCTAACTTTGGGACACAACTCTTGGTTTTCAAATTGCGCCTGCCATTCCCTTGGAACAGGCAGTGGAGATGTTGCGTCGCTGATGATTACTGCAACTGAGGCACAAATAACAGTCCAGCACCACCTGCAAACGAGCACGGCTTGCAGGGGGGATTGGGTAGCTGACATCAGTTTTGTTCAGCACGTCTTGCAACAAACTAATCTGGGCTCATTGAGGTGATGGCCCATTGATAGGTTTGAAGGTTGTGGATCTGTGGAGATGTCTAAGGATATGGTATCAGGGCACAAAGCTTTCCAGTGTTGATGCTCACGCATTCGATGCACCTCAGTAACAGGCACAGAACAGAAAGGAAAGGACAGCAAAGGGAAAATGATGCGAAGGGAAGTGCTGGAAAGGAAAAGGCTGAGTTCCGTTCACGGACACAGAAAATCCCACGGATAGGCCAAGCAGTGCTTTCTGCCCCTTTCACCCCATTGGTGAAAATTTACGAATGGAGAACGGATTGACAGCATTTCACTTTTCAGTGCCTGTCACAATGCTGAGAAACAGTTTTCGGGACATAACCACCTTCTGACGTAGGGACCAAATCTGCTTGACAGGGCAACTAGCTGCCCGTGCTATTCCGCATTGAACACAATGCGTGCCTGTGCAGATGAGGTCGATGTTGAGGAACAGCTCTTGGAGCTGGCATCTGAGGGAAACGCGTTGCGGCAGAAACGTAGCCTCCTTGCGCGCCATGCCGAGGCACCAACCGCACAGATGTACGGCGAGTGCCAAGAGCTCCTGCAGATGTTTGGCTTACCGTACATCATCGCCCCCATGGAGGTGTGCAGGTCTTAGTGTTCAGCTCACGGCTGGTCACATGGCTGGAGTTTTGGGGTGCTTGCGGCTCGCCCTCATTTGTTGATAGCAGTGTGAGGTGCCTGGGAGTATGGCTGTTCGTTCACTGAGATTTTCGATGGGGAATTGAGCACTGCAGAGTGCCAGTAGTTGTCCTACAGGGCAACTAAGTAATCACAGGTAACCACTCCATCCCTTGTGGCTTGTTTGTCTTGGTCAATGAATAAGTGCCCAAGTGAGGATGCAGCGCAACCGTGGTAGAAATCATGCCAATGTCGAATTGCTCGATACATACAGATGATCAAATAACAGTTGCTTGGTATTGTGCGTGGCTGTGTGCTGTGCTGTGTTCATATGTGCACCGATTGCACATCACCGGCAACTGCATCTACAGGTGCAGGTGCATGTTTTGCCAATGATGGTGTAGCCCACCTTTGTCTGAAGCATTGATTCTGTGCATTGTAGCACATGCATAACGTCGGGTGCGCTAAGCGCTGCACGTCTGCCTCTGGTTCTCTTGTTCTTTGCGTTTTTGCCATGTTCTCTAGTTTTGAATCCGCTTCTGTTCTTGTCTGTGGTTGCCCAGTGCAGCTGTGTAGACCAAAAACCGAAAAGCACACGAGGCATTCCGAGCTACTCAGTGTTCGGACATATTGCAACACGTGTAAGAGTCCAGATGCTGCCCCCGTCCCAATAAAGCTGCCCTTCTGATCTATGCTTGGCCATCTGGCGATCTTGCTTCCCTCTGCCCTCAGGCAGATGCCCTTTGTGCAAGCACTTACGCTTGCACACACTCCTCCGCTATCAGCAGCAGCATTTCTTGTGAAGATGGAATCATTCATCCGCGCTGCTACAATTTTCCTGATCCACACGCAGATAACATTCACCGCATTTTATCACCCCTCAGGCGGAGGCCCAGTGCGCCTTCCTGGACTCAGAGGGCCTCGTGGACGGCGTTGTGACTGATGACAACGACGTCTTCCTGTTCGGCGGCTCCCGCATCTACCGCAACCTTTTCGAAAACAAGAAGTACGTGGAGGAGTACTGCGCGGCGGACGTCCAGACGGAGCTGGGACTGGACCGGGGCAAGCTCATGCGGATCGCGCTGCTGCTGGGGAGCGACTACACGGAGGTGGGTCTCAAATCCATCGATAACATTTGTCCAACAAACTTGACAAACATAGCCCTGGCACCTTAGAGGCGATACTGGGCTGCGTTCCGGACAAATGTTTCATTTGTGTCTCACAGAGGTGGGTCGCGTGCGGCGAAGTGCTCTGATGGATTGCAGCACCTGAGCTTGGTCGGAAGCCTCCCCTTGGGCTATCCTATGTGCCATAGACTATTCGATCCTTCCGCATTAAAGAATCTTTACCCTTATGCTTTTTGCTCCGCATTTTGGTTCAGAGCGAGATTTGTTTTCTTTTAAGTTGGTCTGCAAAATTTCTGTTAAAAGAACGTTGTTTTTTTGTTTCTGCGCAGAAAAAGGCCAAGTTACATTGCCATGCAGAAGGGTTGAATATGCTTCGGTGTAGGCGTTGTTGCGTGTACGGAGCCTAATGTCGATTTAATGTGGACTTGCTGTCATATCTGCCTTGTTGTGTCGCTTTTTAGTGGAGCACTGAGCGAGCACATGGATTGCTGGACAGACTGTTGGACAAGGGAGTGGGATGTGTTGCAGCCCGTCGCGTTGGCAAATAAGCGACATTGAAAATAAAATACAAAATTCTTGCCTGTGGCGGCGCACAATGCTTAAAAGCACGCTGAGAATGCGGCGTGCATTTGTGAATACGTAAACAAGCGGAAACATGATAAAGAAACTACTCAAAACTTGCTTTGGTTTAGCCACTCTCACGTGACTCTTGAGCGGCTGGGGCACAGCGTTGTGTGGGATCGGTTTTTGCTGCTGACTGTTCGGGAGAGCGCCACGGGGAGCAGGCGGTCAGCAGCAACGATGAAGGAGGTCGCCCCTCACCAGACGCTGACGAGGATTGCCGCTTTGTCTGTCGCAGGGCATTTCCGGAATCGGGATTGTGAACGCCATGGAGGTGGTGAATGCATTTCCGGGAGACGACGGCCTGCAGGACTTCAAGAAGTGGCTGCAGTCGCCGGACGAGGAGCTGGTGGCGGCAGCGCAGGCCAGGTGCTGATTTGTTGTCCGCAATTGTCGAACATTGCAGTCGCTTCCCTCGCATAAGAAGTAACGTGATGCGCACGGATAGTCTTCTCGATTGGCAGCGTCACCTGTCGGGGGAGGTGAAGGTCGTGGGAAACGGGGCCAGGGGGGATCTGTGTGCAGGTGAACGAACATTGAGACAAGAACAGAATTTGCATGGAACTAAGCCCAGCATGGCCTGTAAGGTTCCTGGGCTGTGTTTGGTCAAGTTTGCTTGACAAATGTAATTCAGGTAATTGAAGGATCTGAGCTACCCTTGCACGTCCAAATCGACAAAGGGCACGGCTGCGTGCACATATCTTTGCCCAAGAATGGTTTCTCACCCTGCTGGCTCGGAAACCCAGAACAATCCCAAAGGAAGAGAAGACCCCCAAGTCAGATGGAAGCGACTGAATGCTTGTTTTGGATAAATGTGCCGTGAGTCTGCGCGAACGAGGATCAATGCCAGCCTTGTGAATTGGCGTCGCCTGTGACGGGCCATGGTGCACAGTCAGAACCGACAGTCGTTGGCCACATGCGTCCGCTGTTGCCCAAATTTCGGACAGCAGCCAACCTTTATTTCTTGGAAGCATCGGCTGTCAGTTGTGCGTTTCTCACCCGCCTGTGCATGACGGTGCTCGTGTGACTCCGCTGAGCTGCATGTGCGCTGTCGCAGTGCTGTGACTGTGGTCGCTGAGCGGCGCTGTGCGTCTGGGCAGGGAACGCTGTCTTGAGTACATTTCCCAGAACGTGATGCGAACTGCCATAGCAACTACAAATCGACAGCAGGCGAAGGTCATCCGCGATTGTTCTCGAGAACTCTTGTTCAAATGTCTCCGTTGGAAGTTGGCTGAGCAACAAGATGGATGGTGTTGTTCCCATGTGCCAGAAGGTTGAGCCATTCCTGCGACGTACAGATGTCGCATTTGGAGAGGAACTTAATGAAGAGCTGCGCCTGTGTTTAAAGTTTGATGTTTCTGTTTGCCGGTTTTAGTGTTTCACGTTTCTGCATGCAGGGTTGGCCCTGCAGATGGCGTGGACTTGTCCGGTCCCGCCACGTCGGGAATGCCCCGCCCTGAAGTCATCGAGTTCATGAACAAGCACAAGGTGGTGAGGAAGAATTGGGTCCTGCCAGAGTCGTTTCCCAGCGCGGCTGTGCTGCAGGTGAGCGGGGGCACTGCGCTGCGACAGAACACTGCATGTGAAACATCACGAATGCCAATGCTTCATTCGGGTTGGGTGGTGTGGGGTGAGGGTGGGGCCGCCAGAGGCAGTGGGGTTCCGGCTTGATTGGGCTGGTCCCGTCAGCTGAGCAATCAGCGCAGGGGCGTGGGGGTGACAGGCACGTTCGGCATTCACAGTGTTGCTGCTAGATGTGCCTTAGGCGCGCAACCGCGCAGGTGCATTGTTGACAGATGCAGGGGCGAATTGCGAGGCGCGTTTGTAAACGGAATGCAGACGCGAGCACTGAACCAGCTTTCATTGATTTTTCATTTTTTGATTTCGACAAGTTGATCTTGTTGCAGAGTGCCTTTGCTGCAAGCGTCTGTTGCATGCACTGCCATAGACGTTTAAATATGGGGTACAACTGCATCAACGCCCCTGGCCTGCAAGCTCATTGCTACAATTCTTGAACTCGAATTTGGAATTCTGACCTGAGACTGCGTGTCGTCTACCTCTCTCTTCAACAACGTGATGAGAGTTCGTGCAGATTCTGACTCAATTCCGCAAATAGGATGTGTCAATATGTAAACTACTGCCTGTTCCTGAAATAATGCCCTGTCTTTCTCTAACTTTCCCCAGGCGTACACCTCTCCTCAAGTGGACAGAAGCAAGGATAAATTCGTCTTTGGGCGGCCCGACCTCGAAATTTTGCGAAGCTTCTGCCAGTAAGCGACTTTGATGGTTGGCTGCGCGGCGCACTGAGGGCCCTAAACTTGTGATTGCCAGCTTCATGCGCGGCTCAGCGGCAAGGCCACGCTTTGACTGATATTGTTGGTGGCCTTGAGAGGGTCATCAAAACAGGAAGCCTCTTTTCAAATATACAACAGCACATGTACACCCTGGGTTGTAGCCCTCTGCTCTCCGCTCCGTTCTGTGTATCCTGATTGAACCCCTGCGACTGGACAGCATGAGATGCAGCTGGTGTTGACAATGATGGTGGCTCTGCCCTGCCAATGGCACTGGCGTGCGCGTGACCGCCGCTGTCGCTGCAAGAATTGGCATAGCAGGCGCCCGATATAGCCCAACTGGCTGCAGACAAGTTGTCCCACAATAGGAAACTGAAAGATGCATCGAATGTTTCTTTAATGCATCGATTATGTTCTTGCTGCCGCAAGACCTTGTTCTATTGCTGAGCAAATCGGCGGCACCGCCTTGTCCGCCAAGGTAGGCAGCTGACGGCTACTTCTATGCCTTGGTAGGCAGCATCTGTTGATCGCTTGGTCGAATGGGCAGCCACCGGTCGCCTCTTTGACAAACTTAGCAAATGGCTATCCGCTCAACAACAGCGCGTCTGGCGCAGGGATCGCTTCGGTTGGGACAAGGCCAAGGTAGACGAGCTGCTGGTGCCTGTCCTCAGGGCACACGACCAGCGCACCGCGCAGCTTCGCATCGACTCCTTCCTCCAGTTTCGACAGAGGTTCGCCAAAATCAAGTCGCGCCGGCTGCAGAAGGCCGTGACTGGCGTCGCCGGCGGTGGCCACAATCCGGACATCGCGCTGCCACCGCAGGTGAGGATGGTCCGACACCTATCATTACCGGGTGTGAAGGTCACGAAGGGGTCATGAAGGGGATGAAAGGTGCTAGGGACCCAAAAGGCTGAAATTCAATAAATCTAAAATCTAAGATCTAATAAAATCTAATCACCCTAGACCCCAAGCAAGACCTTCGTGACCCTGATGACCTTCATGACTTCATGACCTTCATGATCCTCATACCTTCATACCTTCATACCTTCACACCTTCACACCTTCATACCTTCATCATCGTCATGACTTCATGTCCAGAAATGAAGAGCACTTGTGCCACAGGCAGACTCGCGACCTCGCGGGAGGAAGGGCGGGAAGGGGAAGAGTGAGAAGAGTGAGAGGCGGAGGAGCGAGGCTGGGGGAGATGGCACCCAAGACGCTGACGCGGATGCAGAGCAGGTTCGTGGGTTGCTGGTCTTGTGCCTGCATCGGCTGCTGGTGCGCTGCTTCATAGGCACAGGTGGCGCTGGCCTCGCACAAGACGTTTGGATCTGATGTGTTATCATCCACAATCGCTTCTTGTCATTAGGAGTTGATAGATTAGACTTTGTTAATGTTGAATATTAGTTTTCAACTGAAATCTGTCTATGATCAGTGCATTGCAATGCACTAATCATAGACACTGCTTTGCTTGGGCAGAACAAGAAGCTGATGGCTACCTCATTGCGTTGTTCGTTGAAATGAATGATGAAGATGGTGACATTTGGAGTTGCAGACAACCTGCTGCATGCAATGAGCCACAAATTTGATCGTTTCTCCCTCTGTTTGCATCATCGCTGTGCGCTGCAGAGGAACGATGCACGCACTCAAACTGGAAGAATGCCCGTTGTGCACAGTTTAAACGCGTGCTCATGTCTTTTCAACTCGCCGAAACTGTGCGTCTGTGCTGTGGCATCGGCCTGAATCGGAACCAAGTAGCTCAACATGGAGCCCATTTTTTGGGGGGCATTTTGGCCTGCTGTGCCTGCTGCTCAAATGCTGCATGCTGGAACTACTGGTCTATTGACGACTCAGCGGGTGGGCGATAGGTACTTGATTGTGCTTGGGCAAACGTACATACAACAATTACACACTTGTACGAATTTTCTGAAGCGGAGTCATGATGTCGTTGTGACGACGCTTCTTTGTCTCACCAGGCGAGCAAGCGACAACGGGGACCAAACAAATCAGGTGCACCCTTGGAAGGAGGTGCGAACATGGGGGCCGTATCGAGAGGGGGCCGTGGAGCGAGAGGGCGCAGGGGAGGCGGCGACGCCACCCGGAGGGGCAGAAAGAGTCACAAATGCGCGGAGAGTGAGGAGACAGGAAAGAGTGACGGCGGAGAAAAGAGTGAGGGGCGAGGACAGAATGATGGGCGTTCTGTGGGGGATGCAGAAGGGAGCATCAGCGCGGAGAAGCGGAACCTCAGACCTCGAGAGGGCACGAAGAGCTACCAGGGGATGGATGGGGATCCCGAAACAGATGACTGATGCATCTGCGCGTCTTTTATTGTATTCCAATATCTGGGTTGACCGGTCATGGCACTGTGCCAAGCAACTTTCACTACTGCAATGCAGTGCCACCAAGCGGTCTGTACGACTGCGGGACGGCGCCCTGCCAGGTTTACCAGAAGTCTGCGTGGGCGCAGTGTATGCGGCCGTCCGGTATTGGCATAGTCATCTAAATTTTATTGAAAGCTCTAATTGGCGACCCGAACAGCATTGATTTGGTCAAAGAAACAAGCCCGGAGGCCTGTGCATGGCGTGCATGGCACTCCTGTGGAGTAACTCGGCCCATAGGTGACCCATACTTGATTTCGAATTTTCCGAGTTGCTGAACTTGAAATTTATTGATAGTTGTTTGTATTCAGCACATCACGCGGCAGGAAAGTGTCGGGGACTGTTGATTCCGCACAGCCCGACTCTCCTCCCACCTTGGAAAGGAAGCGGTGACTTCCTAGGAACCGTCCCACACTCTGTAACACATCCACATCCTCCCACCTTGGTGTTCAGACAGGTCTTGATAGTGCAACCAAAGAATGTCTGCAATTTTGGGATTTGGCAAAGAACAAACCAGAACGGGGGATGGAAGAGAGGCCGCAGCCTCACAATCTCCCATCCTCCAGAGCAATGGTTGATTCATTATCATAGTCATTATTACATAACAAGGCGATGGGGTAGCCGTCAGCTTCCTATTTCGGCCGAGCAAAGTAGTGTGCATGATCAGCTCATGAAAATCTAATGTATAACACAAACAAAGTCCAGGAATCTATGAACTCTGATGCCAAGAATGCAAAGGTTGATTCGCTGTCCGCCGCACAGTCGCCGCAGCACTGACATGCACTGCCGCCAGCAGCTGCCCAGGAACACATGGGCCCCTCTGTCTTTTCCGCGAGGATCCCCTTTTCTTCCGCTGGCAAGGCCAACGCCGGTCGGTGGGTCAGTGTTTTAGGGCTCAGGTGTCCGAAACAAGAAGGGACGGCATACAATTACTGGCTGCACCAAATCGGTGACTTTCTGCACTAAATCGGTGACTGCTTGCCCCAACTCCCTCCAAAACTTACCCAATCTAAAACCTAAACCCTGAACCGGAACCTGCCCTAAACCTCACCCTAACCATAAAACTCACCCTAAAACTAAACCTAACCCTAAAACTGAGGTCAGGACATGGTGTTCACGTGATTTGGTGCAGGCAGTAATATTATACCAGAAGGGACCATCACGGAAAAGGCAGAGCAACCATCTCCAAGCCGCAGCTGCTGGACCCTCCCTGACGTACGGCCCCAGCCCACCTCCCGTAAGCAACAGCGCCACTGATGCCTGCTGCCGCCCCAAACCACCATCACCCTCGCACGACGGGGTCCAATCCCTCGCCCCCGGCCCCGCGCGCCGGCTGATGGCCAGGGCTGCCTGCCTGCCAAGCCGGCGCGCCGCGGCATCGACTGCCCCCTCGCGGGAGCGCGGAGCCAAACGGACCGCCCAAGCCTCATAAATGAGGTGAGCATCGCGCGGAAAAATGGACCTGGCTGCTCCCCAACAACAGGTGGGGCGCGGGGAGGGGAAGCTTTCCGCTGCAGATTTTGTGTTTCGTGCCTCGGGCGACTGGCATCAGCCGCTGCTGCTGGCCGCGAATTCCACACTGCAGCATGGTGCATGACTTCCGTGGATCTTGCGGCGTGCGGGTGGAGGGAGGGAAGGGTGCGCCGCTGCTGGTGTGAAGCTCAAAGCCGCGGGCGCGATCGATCTCGGGCTTTTGAGCGCGTGGCGGGGGAGGGGCGCGGCGGAAATCTGCTGTGGCGGCTGCGGGCTGTGCGCTGGGTGAAGGGTGGCCCGTTGTGCTGTGCCGGTTGCCCGGCAGGGCGATCGCTTCTTGGACGTTGGCGGAATTCGCGCGTCCTGGGTGTTTGTGGATGCACGGATGGGAGGCGATAAATGTTGGGCGGAGCGGCAGCGAGGCTTTTGCGGGACCGGAAGCCGGGATGAGATTGGAGAGGGAACTGACCACCAGGTTGATTTGGTGGCCGTGTCAGATTTAAGGGTGGGGGCGTTCGCATTTGACCCGCATTTGCCTCGTGATGGGGGGCGCCCCTTTGTGAGAGGGGCCTGGCCATGAAGATGGCACCTCCTGCTTCACTCCTGTCGCACTTTGATATGGGAAAGATTTCTCGCAAGACGAGAAAGCGACTCGCGAATTGGGCACCCACTCATCAGCGGTGTGGCCGCACGGGCGAACGCACACGACCGCGAGGTCACAGGCACAATGGACCAGTTCGGTCTTGCAGAAAATTGGTCCGGAAAGTGGGGCGGAAAAATGGTCCTGAAAGTGTTGCTCGAGCGTATGCAAGTGCAACAAGTCTTGCGTAACAAATAGAAAAAGTCGGCCATTCTTGCAAGGTGATCGCTGGTGCGGGTCGCTGCAGCACAAGAGCTGGAGCCTTGGCAGCTGGCTGATACTCTTCTTCATGTCCCTGCATAGTCCAATGTTACCTCTTCAGCAGGCAGATGCCTGCCAATGCGCACCTTGGAAATGGCCTTGCTTTGCAAGCCAGCCTTTGCTGCACCCCTCCTCCCCTCCCCAGTCGCCAAGGGTGGTTTTGGTTTGAAATTGTGGCCCCATCTGCGTTCAACCCTGTGCGATCCGGAGTCCTGGCCTTATTTTATTTGTTGGCACGTGCTGTTTGGAATGTCAGGACATCCAGGACCCATTAAGTGATTGTGTCTGCACAACTGTCAGGCCAGCACTGTGGAGTCCCTTTTCCGGTCCCATTCATTTGCAGTCATGGAACAAAATCGAGGTCACATGTAACGGGATGTGACATGGGCTACATTGTTCCCTGCACAAGACTTGAGAGCGGTTTCGAGCAAAGAGGCTGTTTGGACAGTGACCGAGGAATTGTATGCCATAATTTAAATCTTGCCAGGAGAAAGAACAGCATCCTTTTGCTGGAAGGTGCTGCAGCTGTAGCCTACACCGGGTTTGAACTAGGTTACCTTGGTTGGCAGGCTTATTTTATTATTATGTATTAATTATTATAGCTTTATTGCCATGTGTTGCACGGAAAAGATTAAAAGCGATTATGTCAGCCTGAATTTGAAGAACTACCCTTGCATCTGCAAGGTGGGGACAACAATTTCGTCATGGCATGAGATCCCAAATAGTAAATTTGGAATGTCCCTGAAAAAACACAACAGATTCTTGTTACAAGAAGGGAAGCATGGCATGAAATGGGCACTCAGAGCAGCATGCATAGCAATACAACATGCACTCAGGAGAGACAATGGCATCAAGGAATGTATTTTGACAAAAAGCGATGCATTTCATATGTCGGGCACCCCATCTGGGCAAAGACTGAGAAGTGAGACCCTTTCTCGACTGTGCACAAGTGTCTGAACACAATCAGGCAAGCACAACAGAGACTATCGGAATTGTCTCCCTCGGCAGATCAAATTAATCCCAGGCCACTCTTTGCCCAACCTTCCAGACTTCAAGCTTTGCCGATATTGTAATTTCTTTTCGCAGTAGGCCAGTTTGGGGATGCAAACCAGAGAGCTTATGATATTCAGCAAACATGCTTCATTGCTGATTGGATGCCTACCCTGCCACCACGCTTATCTTTCCACAATTTGCCTACCTTGATTCATGGAATGGGCAGCCAAACTTGTTCAGCTGGATGCGTATGAAGAATCGTCATTCTTGCTTGCCGTCTAATCTGGCAGTGTTTTCTGACAAGAGCATTCCAATGCCTGCCATCACCATCTGGCACTGGTTTCACACTTGTTGCCATTCCTAATTCTGATGGTGTGGGGGAACGAGCACACCCTCCTTTAGTGGCGAACGTGTTGGAGATATGGGAAATGGTGAACAGCTCAGTTGCCGAGAATGAATGGTGAAAATGGGAAGTAGTGGTGTCTGTCTCATGCCACGTTGTAGACAACGGCTTTGGCTGCTTGCACTGAGCACGTTGGGAGGGCATTGCACTGATATGCTCTTGCGCAACTTCACCGTCACAGTAATCAAAGGATTCTCCGCAGCAGCACTCTAAACCTGTCATGTCTGAACTTATGATTGCACGAAGCAGAAGTATTGGCCACATGCAGTGTTTGTGCCACACACTGACATTCAACCGTGTGTCATGCCAGCAACCCCCCATATTGTCCTGTAAGTTGAGAGAGTACTGCTTTGTCAAATTTAGACAAACGAATTCAACAAGAACATACATCACAATGATGCAGTTGCATTGATTGCAACGGTCATGTATTGGAGACAAGGTCATATTGGTTGAATGTCTCTCGTGGCTGTGGCATCCAGATCTGAAAGTGGCTGCCACAGAAGATGGTGCCATAAACAAACACGATTTTCTGCACCACAAAGCCATCAAGGTGTACAGGCACCATCTTATGTTTTTCTAGGGATAGAATCGACTGAATGTAGCAAGTAATGGAAGCCTGCGGGCCCAAACTTCATGCAAAACGTCTTAGTACTTTGGACAGAATTGAGTGCAACCCTGATGGTTTGCACAAGTCTGTTGCCTGCACATTCCTTTGCATGGTGTAGAGTATTTGAAACAATGGTATTGAAAGTGAGCTGAGACATTAGTTCCCTTGTCTCTTTCAGGCTGAGGCACAGCCTGTGTCTGGGCTTCTGGATTGAGAAGAGGGGCTTGCTGCATTCCTATGGGTCCCATACCTCGAGGTGTTTCACAGAGGTGCAAGAGGCGGCGATCCAACCCCACCGCTGTAGGGCCTGTTGTGCTGACTGAAGATGTTGATTTTTGCTGTTGTCCATTCTGTGCAATTGTGCTCAAATTGCATCTTTGGGGTTCTGCAGAAGAGGGTCCTTGCATCTTGAATGCAATGATGATCCTTCGAACCATGCTGGCTGTTGGTACTTTTTGTTGCATTCGAGAAATTGACATGTTGCATTGTGAAAGCAATGCTGGGGCAGAATTTTACTTCGGACATCAGTTTTGTGCATGTCACGTGTCTGAAACCATGTCGTTTGACACATGCTGCAGAGACTTGCCATAGGTCTCCTGTGCCTACTTCAACAGTGTTTGATCAGTAGGATGCATGGCTGTGGGGCTCTGGTGCTAGGATCCCATCTTGCTGGCCCATCGATGCATAGGATAATGACCTGTTCCTTTACTTCTCATTAGAATTCTTTTGTTGTTCGGCACTTGCAGATAGAGGCAGGTGCACTATCCTGCTGTGGCAGTCTGTGCCCCACGACATAGGAATGGTTCACCACAGTTGGCCGTATTATACAGCAGGGGCATGCCACACAATGGTCACCCATTACCAAACAAGTGCTTCTGCAAGTTCCATGTCCGGGTTGTAGGCGTTGCTGCGGAAGTCTTGAACTGCAGCCAGAAAAACGCACACTGCCTGCACCCATTGGGCAATGTGTCCACAACTGAGTGCAACAGAGTGCTCAGTACATTGCATGCCTCTGAGAACTGAGCTTCATATCCAATTCAACTGAATGGATGTGGCAGCACCTCAGGCTATTTGCTGCAAACGTAGAGCAGCACAAACATCGAGAAAGGGTCGGATCCCTGAGATTGCTGTAGTATATTCAACCCTTCTCCATCAAAAAATGCTGCCGTCATGCTTTTTGCTATGCATTTTTCTTTTCAGAGCTTTGTTTATTTCTTGTTACGTTGCTCCGCACAAATTGTACTAAAGGAGCACTGTTTGTTTTTTGGTTTTCTCCAAAAATAGGGCCAAGGGTTACGTTGCCATGCAAAAGGGTTGAATACACTACTGTAGTGTTTGGACAGGAAGGAAGCCTGTCATGAAATGGGCACCTGCCTCAGCAGAACATTTTGTGAACTTGAGACTACACAACAAGAGATGGTGCAAACTACAACAGAAGTAACACAAACAGCAAGAATATGAAATTGTGGGAGCAAATGTAATCAGTACAACATCGTGAAAACAACAGCCACTCATGACACATGTCTCCACTATGTTCAGATCTACGGGTCGGGTCTATTGTCCCAGGTGTTCAGTGTGTACCGCACAGTGCTTGGCCGAAGAAATACAGTGCTGTATTGCCCCATCTTGCTGGGGCAGCTTGTCCTACAATATCAGGTCGCCAAGGATTGTCCTCTTGACAGAATGGAGAACTGTGTGCGATGGCACGCAACCCCAAGCAAGCACCCATGCAGCACTTTTCCCTGTATTGTAGAAGGCAATACCAGGAAATAGCATGCAGCACAGAGCACCGCATGCAGCAAGAATGAATGGATGTATCCATTGCATTAAAATGCAACAATGCCAAAACACTTGTCTCCACCAAACCCCGATCATGCAGCAGTGTCCATCAATCTGGCAGCGTATAAGTGTGTACCCTGCAGTGCTTGGCACAAGGAACACCCCAAGCCCACACAAAGAAGAATCTGCCAAGAGGAATAAGCCCTGGAAGGCAGAATTGAATGAGAAGAGAGTCTGAATAGATTTGGCAACCTGTCAAGTGGAACTGTTCTTTGCGTTCATTAATTTCAAGATAATAAGGGTGCCACCTGACTGATTGTTGCATGATCTCCCCAGAGAACGTTTGTCGTGGTGGCAGAGGTCCTCGTCGGGTTCGTGGGCTGCTGTCTAGTGTGGCACCTTGTACTCAGCGCCTTCCAGGGGGGCAGACCGCTGACCTTGCAGGATGACCCAAACCTAATAGGTCACTTCAGCGCTCAGAGGGTGGAATGGATGCTGTCGGCGCGGTGCCGCAACCGGGGCCCCCAGAAGAAGACGGGGATGGTGGATCCGAAGTATTGGATGGCGGAGCACTTTGAATATCGAAAGTCTCAGATGTGGTCATGGATTGACAAGCCGGGTGCCACCCACCCGCCAACGCCCTTTCCACACTGTCAGGTGAATACTTGCACATGTGTTGATGCTGCGCCTGGCAATGGAGTGTAGCAACATTTTTGTCTCATAGTTGTTGCATTGCCATCGCTTCTTCTGACAGAGGAGTACGTGCCGCCAATGAATTGTTAATTGTTAGATTTCCCATGAACCCGAATGTCTGGGAATTGTGTTCACGCTGTCTGTTGTTGCCTGAGTTGATGAAATTCTGCATCGATGGCGGACGTAGCCACAAAGGCGTTGTTGGCATCTGGCCCGCTTGCACAGTTATAAACTCTGAAAATGGGGGCCGAATGGATGATATATAAACTCTATAAGTCCATTGGTTTGCAGTCAGTTGGATTCTTCAGCCAGAGCCTGGCTTTGGTGGCTGAAAATTCGCCACAGTGCAAATGATTGGCTGAGGGTTTTGTTGATTGATCTGTTGTAGGCTGTGCATCGATCACTCAACACAGCTGTAAGCTGATCAGCAGCTTTTTTCTTACATTCCAGAATGTTCCATCACATTTGGAAGTCCACCTGAGGTATTGGTCATGAATGGAGCTGTGAGTGCTCATTCAGAATACCGCTGAGATGTATGAGGAAAACCTTGAAATGCAAACATAGACTGAAAACTGTGCGTGCTGAAACTGAGTTTCTGAATGGAGCCACACAGAATCATGTGGAGCATTGTCTGTTTGACTAGCTAACGCATCGAGCAGAACAAATGACCAGTTAGTTGATCTACTGGCCGCACTGCTCCCAGGTGTACATCAACCATGACTACCGATTCATCTGGGTGAAGGGCTACAAGGTTGGCGGCACCGCCATGCGTGGCAGCCTGGGCTGGCTGTGCGACGACAGCTGGTGGGTGCCACAGGACGCTGACCTCAGTCACTGCAGCACGCCGCTGTGGAAGAACAGCAGCTTGACAGCGCAGCAGGCGCAAGAGTGGTGGAGGGAGTACTTTGTGTTTGGGGTGGTTCGCAACCCGCTGGCAAGGTTCTCCAGTGGCTATGAGTACATCTCCCAACGGATGCCTGAGAACTGCACGGTGCCAGGTGAGCGCTTGACGTCCATCTGATTGCATTTGGCAAGCCGTGAAGCAACAATGCCGTTGCTCCTTCGCGTCGTTGACAGGCAGTTCTCCATCTGGAGTGGAGCCCTGTAGAGACTAGTTCAGTCTGCACTGTGCATCGCATTTGAGATTGGCGTTCAGCACTCGCATCACGGGCGTCGTGCATCTATTCATTGTGACAAGCCTGTTTGACGCTGTGCAGCCCCAGTTTATGATTGGCTGCAGTCACAAATCTGCTCTGTGCAGGCGAGTTTGGTGTAACAGTTCTTCAAATTCAGGCTCACAAATCAGCCGTGTTTTGTTTACGATGATTATTATTATACTATTATCACATATTATTATACTATTACATACTATTACGTGCTATTATCACATAATATATATACATGTTATATACTATTGTGACATATTATACTATTATTACATATTATTGTACTATTACTGCTTTTGGCTTGTTTTGTTCAATGCAAGATTGGCATTTCGTTGATCCCTATGTGTTTCATTTGATCCACCTGCTTTTCTCTATTCATCCTGGTCCCATACAAGGATACCATCCCTGCAATTCTCGCATTGCGCCCATCTTGCCTGCATCCTTTCCAAACTCCTGTCCATCCCATCTTGCATTCCACGTTCTCTTCACTATCATTCATCACCTCTTTCTGTCCATCAGCCTTCATTCTATTAATGTGCCATCAATATCAATGTCATTGACACATCATTTCATCAATATCATTCCGCCACTATCAAGATCAGTCAATGCCTTTCCATCTTCATCAAGATCACGATCATCATCACGTATTGTGATCGTCACTATCGTTCCAGTATTGCATCATCAGCCTTTGTCATTCGCCATTCCTTGGTCCCATACCCCATCCATTCATAACAAATGCGATTCAAACAAAGGAGGATTACCTCCCCAGCCCCCCCCCCTCCCCCGCTCCTGCAGGTATCATTCTACACCTTTCATACGTGCCCCTGAGTGCATGTTTTGCTTGCCCTTTGAGTTGCTTGTGCTGTTTGCCCATCTTGTGCATCGGAGGCTCTAAATCAACTTTTCACAGCGTGGAAAAGAGCCTCGCATACACTTGCTCAGGAGTGGGTGCCCTCTGTATGACCCATTTCTTTCTCTCTCCAACATGGGGGTAGTGGGATGGCACATGGGCGGCCCTGGACGTGGCCACGATGCATTCTGATGGGTCATGTATTGTGGGCATGGCACGGAAGGTGACATGCACACCTTTGTTGTAGCACCATGTGAAGGAAATCTTCTTCTTCTCTCTGCAACAAATCTCACCCCTGCCGCAGGCATGCCGGCCGCTTGCCGCGACCCATACGTCTTCGCCAAGACCTGCCGTGCTACGGCCTGCTGCAACAACAGTACGGTGGACCACCACGTGCGCCACTTCGGGGACCAGGCACGATGCCTCTTCTCGCAGTCAGACGCCCCCGCCGTGGACTTCATCGCAGAAACGGAAAACCTGGACGACGATTTGGAGGCCATCGTGAACATCATCAACGAGAGGAGGCCTGAAATTATGCCACCGCTGGTGGTGACGTCATCGTACGGCAACCCGGGGCCCGGGGCCCAGTCGAAGAAGCCTGGGGAGAGGGCGAGGGAGCGCGTGAGCGCGCTGAGGGAGGACCCAGATTGCGTGCCGGAGCTGGTGCGGATGTACCGCAACGATTATGTCACGCTAGGGTATGGGGACACATAATGATACTGTGGCGATATCGTAACGATACCGTAACGATTGCATCACGCTGGGCTACGTGACGGGGGTGAGTTTTTTGGGCCAAAGAGAGGGAAGTGGTGTTGAGAATTGTTAGGAAGAGAAAGAGAAATAGGTCATGCAAAGAGCACCCCCTGCAAAGCAAGTGCACGCAACAATCTTTTCTTGCTGTGAAAAGATGACGAGGGAGGGCTGCGGAGGAAGCGAAGGCAAGGCGGCCCATTTTTCCGTCCCGCGGGGAGGAAAGCAGCCCTGGAGTGCGCACGGTGGCAATTTCAAATTGGGTTGTGGATAAAGAGGCGGGCCGGTCGTGCGTTGTGGCACCCCCTTCTGGCGGGAATGCCCTTCTGCGCTTGCCGGTGCTCTGGGAGCCACTGACGGTGAGAGCGAAGCTGAAACAACTGAAGAATGAGTTTGTGTGGGAGTAGGGGAAGGGCGGGCGGGTAAGCGTTTTGTGAGCGATGGAGGTAGAGCGCTTTTGGGTTCTTGCCAAACGGTGCATCAAGTTTGGTTGGGCGTGGGGAAGTGTTACAGGAAGCAAACCTGCTTGGGAGAGGCAACAGTGGGCCCAATTCCATTGATTGCATACTTGCCAAATGGGACAAGGCAAGTCGTTTCCCCAAACTGGTGATGTCAGGCAGGCGGCAGTGGATGGCAATGGCCATTGAATGGCGACCGAGGGGGCGAAGCACCCCCATTCCTAGTGAACTTGCCATTGCTACGATAGTTTAGTTTAGCGAGTGTTCCTGTGGCGAATATTTAGGCGCCAAGGTTCAGGCTGCCGGTGCGGTCGTCGCCACGGCCTGGCAATCATGACGTGTTTGCGTTTGCCACGCCAGTCGTATCCGCTCAGGGAGGACCGTGGGATTCTTTGGACGTTAGCTTGAAGTACTGAGGCTGGCTATGGTCATTGAAAGGGCAGGAAGGTGGGTTGATCCGTACGGAACGGGAGGGGCTTGGGCTGGCGTGGTAGACATGCACAAGAGGCGAGCATTGAACCGGAGTACTTGTGTACTTGTGAAAATCGACGTTCAATATCAGGAGGGGGTCAGGGCGCCATGTTGAGAGCCGTGCTGCACGTGAAGAGTAATCAAACATGAAACGAAATGAATAAGTGAAATCAACGAAGTCAAAAGGTCTTCTGGAATTTGTGCGTTGGCTGCAGTGCTACGTTCGTCGGTCTGCTGGGAGTGCGAAAAATGGTAAATGTCTGTGGGGCCGAGATTGGCGCTGCCAACGCACCAGCTGCTTGCTGCCAGGCTGCGGGCTCCCTTCATTTGGTCAATTTGCGGCATCTCAAGGGCGCACGCACAATAATCATATTCGAGGGTAGAGCCGATCTGGCAGGGCGAACAGTGAGTGCACAGTTTATTCTAAAGAACAGCAAAACGGGAGAGAGCGCATGAAAACCCGAGGCAGTTGCCAAGAGCTCACTTTGTTCGTTCGTCACAGGGACGACGTCATCACGAGACGCCGGTCTTACGTCATCGTTATTCTATTACCGAGGGGGCACGGCACAACGCAGCGGCGCGCCTGGCGCGACGCCACGAACCTGTTCGCCAATCTGTTGACCATGCGTTGACTGGTGGTTGATCGGGGGGAGCGCAAGCAAAAAGTTGTGCGACCCATTCCACATTGCGGTGCTCCCAAGGCCCTTACCCCCAGCGACCGACCCACCCCGCGGTCAAAAGTTCGACGGTTCCCAAACTGCTCCGTGCCCTCCCAGGGAATGCATTCGCTAAGTTCCTTTCCCAAAACTAATGAACCAGGGGCACTGCGTGTCCCGCCCAACTCCCCAGGTCGGCCGCCTCGCGGCCTCCTTTCCACGCTCCGTTCGGAAACTCGGCCTCCAGTCCCAAAGGCGTTATTGCCCGGCCGCCGCTGTGGGCAGGTGCCCCACGGGTCGTGACCTTCCAATCAAAACGTAATCAGCGACGCGCCCACCCCGCGCGCTGCCCGGGGCGCATGCTGCCCACACCAATCGCGCTCTGCCCTCCAGGCACTGACCATGCTGCACCATACTACGCCCCACGAGCCGGGCACTGGACAGGCCACTGATTGGCGCGGAGCGCGCGTTGGCGCTCCATTGCGCCCTCAGAAAATGGGGGCATCGGTACAGGCATCGTTCTCGGAGGTAACCAGGAGGAGGGCGCGCGCGCGAACTCAGACCTTGGCGCAGATGCACTTGGCCTCCCGGCAATCCGTTCTGTCGAAGCTGCAGGCGAACTGCGGGTTGGGGATCTGCCAGAAGAGCCTGTACTTGCACGACGCCCTGGGGTCCCTGCGCGCCGATGCGAACATCGGTCAGTGACAGGGGTAAACGGAAGAAGAATTCCCTTCCACTGTGAGGCCCATGATAACGCCCGTCGAAGCCACTCAAGTCTCATGCGATATCGCATTGCAAAAACGCTTTTTGCTTCAGTTCCTGCTCGCGAACTGGCGAGGACGCTTCTTTTGATGTGTTATCATCGACAGCTTCTTGGCATTAGGAGCTAATAGATTCATAGACTTTGTTTGTGTTATACCTTAGATTTTAATGAACTGATCATAGACAGTGCGTTGCTCGTGCAGCATGGGAGGCTGACGGTCACCTCATTTCCTTGTTCTGTGAAAGAGGATGATGATCATGATAGGGGCAAAGGGTCAATGCGCGCTCAAAGTTGCCAAGGCCACAAACAGCGGATTGATCTTGGCGCGGATTGCCGAGTCCAGGCCGCCGCATGGCGCTAGTCTTCCTGGCCATAAGCCTTCGAAACGGAATCCGATGTGACAAAGCGTTGCCTTTGAACATTATCTTACGGATAATTGGCCAACGTTTAGTACTTTATAGTACTTGGTTGTACCACATTTTCCTGATAACGTCTTCTTGCACCTTGTAGGGCATGACAGGCATGTGCGCATGCAAGAGCCTTTGCAGTTTCCAGCGCCTCCCAAAGGCCTCGCAATGCTTGACAGAAAGATACGGCCCAAGCCAACAGCCACACGCAGTGGCGGCAAAGGAACATCGGGAGGGCAAGCAGCCGTGGTTATCGACGGGATTGCCTCAAAAGAGTGCATGAAGCACTACGGGGTATGATTTGTTCGTCGAAGAAGAAACACGTCGCACAATCTCCACATCCGTTTTGAGGCGGAAAACTGGATAGATGGCAAAAGCTAGAATGACTGCACGACTGGGCGCAACTAGAGCGGCCCCAAAAGCACATTCCACTGCGCAAACTCACTTCCAAGGGGTGATGCGCTCAGCAGGACCAAGTTACTGCGCACTCCCGCTTACACGCATGTCAAACAGGGGCTGGAATGCATCGCACTGCCGGACGCTGGCAACGTTCTTCACTTTGATTTAATCAACCTGTCGGTTAGCCTTAGGTCGTCCTTAGTATCTATTCATGCAGCTTGCAAGTGCTGCATACCTTGTTGTGTATGTTCAAGTACAGGCATCCACGAACTCCACGAAGGGTGGAAACCCCCTGAAGTTCATTCACATGCAAAGGATCGGCCTCCCGACTACTCCCACAGGACCGCCCTCGAGCCACTGCTAACGCCATTCCTAGCAGGATGAAGGAATAGGAGAACCGGCCCTCCCAGGCCCGCGCTCGCCAGTTTACACTGCTTAAACTATCTGCCCAATGGCGCTCAGATTCCGTCTACTCTTGACGCGGTTGACACTACACTTACGCAATCCATGTCAAATGCACTAATCTAAGTACGGAATTAGATGTGCAATATGGCGTATTCATTATCGGTGCGACTCGCGACATGGCACATTCCACAGGTGAAAAATCGGCCAAAACACACGGTTTCGAACCGTGTAAAGTCATTTACACTCTCTAAATAGTCACTACACAGTTTTCTACCATTTCACACGATAAATATGCAATTTGACACGATTTCTAGACGATTTTCAATCGCATTACACTGTACACTGTTTTCAAAACATGTATTTGGGCCAATCGCCGCTCAGGCTCAAGCGGAGCCCCCGCTTCCACTCACTCGCTGTCGCACATGCACCGCCCCAAGGCGCGGACGTCCTCCGAGCAGCACGTGCCAATCTCTCCCTCGCACACGGGATAGATGCACGTCGCGATGGCGGGGTCCACGCTCATGCCCTGCACGAACGCCCTCTCCAGGAACTTGCCATTGGCAGTGGCGATGACATCAGCCTCTGCGCGCATGGCGTCATTCAGTCAGCGCCGCTGTCAACTAACAGAAATTACGGCCTCTTCGGCAGTTAATTGGCCATTGTAGGTCGATTAAATGTGTCAGTCAATAAGTTAACATGTTTATTGACTGCAATTTATAGCTCACCCTGTCCCTGATACCGAGCTGTAAATGGTCTGCATATTTGACGACACTGCCTGTGCACGGCAACGGACGCACAGCACATCCCAGGAGTGCCCATTGGCAATCACACTGCAGTTCAATGCATGCCCTGCATTGCGTTCTACGCATTGTTGTGATTCTGATGGTATTCAGGCAATCTCACTTCAAGCAGTTCTGGTGCGTGAACTTGAGTGCTTTTATCCGTTAGGACTGCCTCCCTCCAGCCAAAGGCGGTGCTCCCGAACCTTGTAGGCTATGGCGGGCATATATGGACATATCATGCGCATATGCGTGCGTTTCAACTTGCCTCTGATGGCGTCTGCCACGGCATCGCAGCCCTCCATTTCGAGGAAAGTGGACACCGACCTCCCCATGATAACGGACTTGTCCGCGCCAAGGGCGTTCACACCCGTCACAATGGTCCTCCCCACCGTCCTGGCTCCCTCCGGGCCGACCTTGTTCGCCTCGGCGAGGGCGGTGGCGACGGCTGAGCATCCCACAGATCGGTCAAGGCAATGGGGCCTCTGAAATCAGGATTCGTGCAAGTTGGCTGCGTTTGGGCAATTGCGGACTGTTTTTTTTTCTTTTTTTTTTTTGGGGGGTCCAGAATATTGCATCCCATTCACCGCCCTGATGCCTGGTCGTGGATTGGCTGCTTGCGGATGGCGTTATCGCCATCTCCAATGGAATACGGAAGCAGATTAGCAGGGAGAACGTAACACGGAGGCATAGGCAAGAACTGTGGGAAAGGAAATGTTTGACCGCACCCTTTGTACTTTGAATTGGTGGGCTACTTTTGGAAACACGATATGGAGTAAGACACTGAACGGATGAGTGGCATCTGTGCTCAAAGTAGTTTATTCTCCAGTTAGCGCACACGCGCTTCTTGAAAATCCCACCGGCGATCGGGATCGCCCCATGTTCGGACGAAGACTCATCAGCGAGCTCTGGACGCTCACTGGAAAAACTCCCTGGAATCGCAGCGCGCAACGAAGAAATATCGAAACGCCTGCCTGCGAGCGTCTGCCCAACTGCGTTCACCCTTCACGCTTGCCGGAGGCGTTTGGCGCCAAACGCTCTGCCGGCAGAGCTGGGTGTCGCTGTATTGTATTGTGTAATACCGTTGTATCGAGGTATTGTGTATTATCGCTGCATTGTACTATACTACAATATGTGCTTCCCTACCCGTTCCGGCTTCGAAAGTCGTCGTCCCTCCGCACTGCGCTCACCTATCAAAGCTTCCTCTTCCACAGGTCCGCCCTGGACCTGAGCCAGCTCCAGCACGCTGCCCACGAGGACGCCGTTGCCTTGCTGGATCGCGGAGCGGAACGCCGATGCCTGAGCAGCTACATCTCCGCCTGTTGCGCAATTTGGAGAAAGGGACCGCTTTAGGGTTCGACGTTGAGGCAATGAGTGCCATCGCATTGGGAACTCAATTCTGAGGCACTGCGCTGCTTCCAAGCGCTTCTGCGCTGTAAACAGCAAGAATGCTGCAAGGCGTTCCTCGTGGTACGGAATCGAAATGTGACACCAGAAACATGCACCAGAAGCTGCAACACATCTGCTTCCGCCAGGCCGACTGAGGTCATAAAAGGGGGTGAAATCGATTGTAAGCAACGTGAGAGCGTGCGTAAATTTAGCAGACAAATGCAAAAATTCGCCGAGCTCCATTTTGGTGGTGTATGCCCGTCGCTTTAGGCCTTACTTCTGTTAATTTCACCACCGGCTGAGGAGGTGGAAGGAAACGCATTTTACAGCTTGTTTCACCATATTCACGAGTCCAGGCGTTGGATCCATCCTATTGGAGGAGATGTGAAACTTGCGACGTGCCATGGAAATGTACAAGCCAATGCAAAATTTCCAATGGTGGTTATGTCCAAATTGATGTCGATCTCACAGAAGATTTTTTGGTACTCAAGGTGGAGCTTTGTCACATGAAGAATCGTAGCAAATCGCGGCAGTTTGTTCTGCTGATTCATGTCGATTTCGCATCCAACTACTATCGCGAGAACGTCCAACAGCCAGCATGCATGCAGGGCTTCGATCATGTCGCCGAAATTGGCATACCCTTGCCGCAGTACCATTGCAGTAATATTCACATAGGTTTTGGTAATTCGATATTTTCGAGCTGCTTTCCGCCCACGCCGCGTGCGCAGACAGTCCCTTTTGAGCATGTTGATGAATGGCGCGCATTTGGTCATGGAATAAAATCTATCATTCGATCGGAAACGCGACCCACTCAACCCATGCAAACAAACCCACCAATGGAACCAACATTTCGTTGACAGAAGAATTGACATAATCGCGTATTATAAGGTACAGAGGGGGTCCCAGTACAGCGCCCCCTTTTTGGCCATGTCAAGGGGGAGCGCTATATGGGGAGCCCCACTCTCCTGAACTTTGTACCAATATTTTCCGGGGCAACTCCAATCCTCAGCGTCTTACTTGCTCCGAGCACCAGCGAGTACGCTGCTTCGGCGTCCGGCCCTGCCGCCACAGTGTCTGCGCTTGCCTTGACCGTCGCGCCGTCGTCGCCGGTGGCGTTCACGTTCGTGACTGCCGTCGCGCCGTCCACTGACCTGGCGCTTCCGCTGGCCTGCGGCGAGCAATGCTGGATCTCAGTGTGCGCACCAGCAGCGCCGTATTGAGTCACGTTCACTTCGGATGAACACTGAAGCGACCGTCGAGCATCGATGGTGGACGCATGCTCTAGTTAACATTAAGCACAGTTGTTGTGATGTCATGTGCTGATGCAGATTTGTAACAGCACATCATGATCGCAGCAAGTCGGCTGGACAAAACATTTCCATCCGATGAGCCTCAGCTGCGCATGGGCAAACGCACCCAACTGCTGCCGATGGCTGTAGATCCATTGAGAGTTAATTGCGCAGATGGTTACGCTGTCGCAGGGATTTCTAGCCGTTGTCCGTAACATGCAAGGATAGGGATGTCGTCGCTTGGCACACGCCTCCCAGATCGATCTGCCGGATCGCTGTTTCCACTGCTGCTGGTAGGGCTGTGGCGCACAGCGCTTAACACTCTACCATGCTCCAGAAAATATGCATCAGAATATATTCTGATGCATATATATGCGCTATCAATTGGTGGCCCAAACGGCCCATATCCCAACCCCTACCTCCACATTGGCGCCATCGGTGGCGTCCGCAGCCACGTTGGAAATTGCAACACCATCGCCGTCCGCTGTGGCGACGGAATCCGCGTTGGCGTTCCCTCCGTCGGAAGTTGCACTCGCGGTGGCTTTTGCAAGGGCGGCAAGTCTTCTGGTGTGGAAATGTGACAGCCGTCGATCTGAAGAGCATTTGCAGGAAACTGCAATCAGTCCATGAAGGGCAAGATCGGAAGTAATCCACAAAATGTCGGATTTTGTTAATTGCATTGTCCAAGACCCTGTGACAACGACATCCACAAGCTTCGGCTCGTCGACGTGGGCCTAGTTGCACACGGTGCACATTCGCACACAACTTGAGAAAGCGAGAAAAAGCGGACGTTGTAAGTAACGCCTTGATCCCTGTACATTCGCGCAGAGGTAGGGCAAGCGCAGAACCAATGGGGCAATTTCGATTCCACACTCAGTTTCCCTCATCGCTACTGTAGTTCGCTAGAAATTGTTGGTCAAGCCGAATCACTTGATTGCCTGGTGATACTATTCCCAAATTTGATGACAATGCAACCTGGCAGTCGCCGAGCACATATACGCAGCCTTCGATTGGGCACCGCAGGTGGCGGGACGCTGTACCAGTCTCTAAGGCAGTGCGAAGGGAGAGACCATCTTGCTTCTACATTGTTATCTGTGTCCACAGCATGAATGTGATGTGCTCAATCACTGCTGGCGATTGATTGACACAACCCTTGCAAATGTTTACCCATTGGATGGGATGATAGAACGAATGGCAGCCTTGCTGGGCGACCATACCTGTAGGTCCCGCCATTGCGGCTGCCACCGATAGTACCGCCATCGCGATGTACACAGCCGTCGCGCTCCCCATGGTGATGCCCCCCGCTCAAACTGATCATCCACAGCAGCTAAGCGTTAGCGCAATGCAAAACATCAACTAGCAGACCGCCATATACGCGCCGCTGCTGGCAGCAATTTGCTGCTGTCATGAATGGCTTTGTCTTGCCGAATTCACTCTTTGCTTTTTCTGCAAGTCTAGGATTGCACCGAAGACAGAAGGTTCCATGAGGATGCAGCTGGAGCCGGGGAGTGCAATGGAAAGCAGGACGTTTCTTCGCTTGCACTTGTACAGACCATTTCAGAACAGAAATTTGTGGATCCGCACGGCGCTTTGCATCGCCTGATACCGTATTCTGCTAAAACCTTCTGCATAATAATGCAACGTTTGCCCCATTTCTGTGGAGCAGCGTTGCGGAGCGCACAAAAATGAAAAACGCTTTGAAAAAACTGCGGAGCAAAAAGGGCAACGGTAAAATTTTTTAATGCGGGAAGGTTGAATATTATACGGTAGGTGCAGGAAGTGCCCCTCGCCACATTTAGATACTCAAGACCGTTATCAGAACGATTGTTGATTTGCAAGGTGGTGTGCCTCAGGGCAGAGGATGGTGGAATGATGGACACCGGCGGGGAAAGCTGTCTGCGCGTACTGCCCGCCAGCATCACCGAAGAGTGGGCTTTGTTTCCAGCGCGGCGGCAAATCGCCTCCGCGGTACGATCCGATCCGTACATGGTGTGTACCGAGTGCGCCCACCGCGCCAGACCAGTTTCTGGCAGTCCAGCCGCGTTTACTAATTGATCGCAACGACGACAAACACAGGCGGACGGGCTTCAGTACTTTGGTTTGCGGTCCAAGAGCCGTCGAGCCACCTGCCCTGCCGGTGGGGGTCTCGCCCTGAGGGATGGCGCCCCCCTTCTTGCGTTGCTCCCCGCCTGAAAGTGGCTTTCAGACCCGTTGGGTATTTGCTTTGGACAGTTGGTTTTGGTGGAATATGGCACCCATGTCAACGGCACCCTTGGGCCGGGACCATTGGACGCTCCGAGCGTCGGCATCGTGTGCCAATGATGCGCAGCACGGGCGGCCGACTCTCAATGAGCCACCAGGGCGGAAGAACTAACGACGCGCTCCAGATTGAATAGTCGCCAGGCACCGCGTTCGGTGAGGACATGATGCATGCCATGCTGAGCGGCTCGCCAGGCATCAACGGCCAGATTTGGTTTTTGCTTGGAGGGCGCGTCCAAGCTTGGAATCTGTGGATTCGGTGCGAAGCAGTCCGAGAAAGCGCTCGGGCTCGTTGGGAAGGAGCTCAGTGGGTCTGTGTTTGGAGCGGCTGGGGTGCGTGGACACAACGGCAGCTGGCTTTCGTGCTTGCCGACAAAGGCGCACGCCCCCCAATCGCGTCGCCGAAGGGTAGCAAAAAAGCAAAACTAGCAGCCCCACACTCGCCCCAAAGCCGGATCGGCTTTGCGCAGTTCTGGCCTCGGGAGCTGCGTTCCGAGGATGAGGAGCGGTTGAGGCCGCCAGACGCATAAAATTGAATCGACGCCACACAAGAAAGGACCCCCTCCGGCGGGGCGCCCGCCGGTCGCACCCGCCAATCGCACGCCATCCACTTCGCCCACGTCGCCATACGGCGAAATACCCATCCAACACACCCACGATGGACGACACGCGCCGTCCAAAGAACGCGGGGCGCCACCGCCGGGAAGGCGTCCCTCGACAGCCTCGTCACCGCCGAGAACGCCGCATCGCCCGCCACGGATCCCCTCCCAATTCTCCGCGCACCTTCGATCGACGGCACGATCGCAGTTCCTCCCCCCACGCACACACACACCTCGCCGACCCCACAGTCCTCCATAACCCCGCACCTGCTCAGTCGTCAATTTTTCCGCCGATCTCTCCCCGCCTCCGGTGACCGCGGCCGCCCCGCCTCGGATGCTCCCCGCGCTCCCCTCGGCCTCCCTCGAGGCGATCGCCGCCCCGTCCAAGCCGGCCACGCGGCAAAGCGAGCCCCCTTTTCCCTTTTCCTTGCACGCTGCGGACCCGGGCGCCGCCGGTTTATCCTTGCGGCACCGCAATCCGCTCCGAGGACGGTGGGCTTCGGCGGGCCCGGCGGGCCCGGGCTGACGTATTTCTACGTGCGGGGCGGGTGGGAAGCAGGACGGGACAGAAACAACGTCGGCAGGCCGGATGTGCGGCGAGAACATCGGGGACGTACGAGGGCGACCGGGTTGGCCGGTCCGGTGGAAATGCGTGCCGAGCGAATGCGAGTGCATCCTTTTAAATGATCATCTAAGGAATGTGTTAGTACTTTATTTACTTCAATGTTAACGCATGAGTACTTCGCGTTTTCTTTCATTGAAAAGAATGAGAGAACAAAACTTGCAACAAGGTTTGGCCTTCCCAGTGCACGCCTGCGATGGGGTCATGTCACGCATGTTTTTTTTTCGATATTTTTTGCCAACCAAGGAAATATTTCTTTATTCTTTATTTTTTAATCTTTATGCTTATGTGTGCTTATTTTTGAGTTGCCCAGGTGGCGGCGGTGCATTGGGGGCTGGGGAGGCCGTGTGGATGCCAGTTAGCACATGGCACCAACAGTCTGCGATATGTTGCATTGATTGAATCATAAATCAATCGGTGGGTCGGGCTTTCTGAACAAAGAAAATAATTTGGTTGACTCAGAAAGTAGATAATTTGTATCTTGCAGCTCGTTTTAGTTTGCATTGTAGGGGATGCGCTTCTAGATATGTTCAAGTCACAAGAAGCCTTAATATGCAAGGATTATGCATACGTGTGCGTTCGTAATGGGCCTCGCAATGCGATGATCGACTGATGCGGCGATCACAAGGGTGGCTTTTTGCAGTGCGTGGGCTATTGATGTCATTGGACCGAGGAGGGTCCAATTTGCTCCGGCGTCCAATGCCAACGATTCTTCAATCAACTAATCAATCAATCGATCAACTGATAAAACAAGCAATTATAAATTGCGTCAACCCCCAGCACGTGCATCTGAGCGCCAACGAAAAAATTCTTCGTGGTCCCTGAGGTGCATTGCATGTCCATGTTCCATCCAAATTGTCCCAAACATTATTGATTCTACCATGCAATACCCCCGCCACAATTGTATAGCTAGGAAGGAGCAATAATTAAGGTATTTTAGAAATAATGGAGACTATGATCAATTGTAGCCTTGAAAATAAGTTAGCTTACGATGAGATATGCGCAAATTTGTGCTTGTCTTGCAAGATCTTTAACAATCATGCTACCATGTCCGTAGTGGCTTAAGTGGCATGGACTCAGTATCTTCCTCGTCAATATTGATAATGTGATTGTGCTAGGGTTCAATTAAACTTCATATGGAAAGATATAATGAGATTTGGTGTCTAGTATATACAATATAGAGCATGGGACGTGACTGCATAATAGGTGGGAAATTTGGATAGATTTGGATGGTCTATAAAGGCAGCACGGTGATGTGACTTTGAGTGTTGGATTCCAACATCTGTGATTCATACAAAAAGAGAGAATATATTGGGGCATATTTCACGGAGTATGTGTGGATGGGAATGAACATGAATTTATACGCAACCTGACGAACAGGCAATATAGGCCACTCTTG